GCAAAAGTGAGCCCAGTTACTCCTTCTGGAAAGGATGGTGGCAGGAAGGGAGTAGCTAGTACCTTTCACTTTCCAAAAATAAAATGAATTCATTGTTTAGAGTCTGCCACACACTTTGTCTTCTCATCGTTCAGAAGATTGTCTCAGGATTTTTTTCTCCAGAGTGATGGCCAATTAGCAGTACCATAACGAAGATGTACACTCAGAAACCTCAGCCAAGAAATGGCCCAGATGAAGTTGTTTCGATCTAGGAGCGCAAATAAGTCTCCACATTTGTTTGATGCTTTGAAATTTAAGCCCCTCTCTCCCGCTCTGTACCTCCCTCTCCAGGACCTGGGTACTATCTCTGAACTTCTTTTGCTCAAGGCTGGCACTCTATCACTTGAGCCACAGCTCCACTTACAGCTTTTTGGTGATTAATTGGAGGTAAGAGTCTCATGGACTTTCTTGCCCAGGCTGGCTTTTTTTTGGTCAGTTGTGGGGCTTGAACTTGGAGCCTGGGTGCTATCTTCAGCTCAAGGTGAGCACTCCACCACTTGAGCCACAGCACCACTTTGTTTTTCTGGTAGTTTATTGGAGATAAGAGTCTCACAGACCTTACTGCCCAAGCTGGCTTTGAACTGCAATCCTCAGATCTCAGCCTCCTGAGTAGCTATTGGATTACAGATGTGAGCCACCAGCGCCTGGCATTCCAGGCTGGCTTTGAACTACCCAGGATCTCAGCCTCCGGAGTAGCTAGGAATACAGGCGTGGGGCCATCAACGCCTCAGAGCTGGGCCTCCCACCCAGGATTGTTTTAATTTCTAGAAAGTTTTTCTTATAATGATTAAAACGAGCCTTGGAACCTACACCTGGGTGATTTTAGCCCTGAGCTCCACAGAGGGGCGAGAATAAAGAGCCTGATTTTTGTTGTTTTGTTTTCCAATATTGGGAAACTTAAGAGAACTTAAGGGCCTACAGCTTGCTAGGCAGCTGTTCGACCACTCATACCACCTGTCCAGTACCACCCCTCATTACCAACCACAGCAAAAGGAAGCAGAGCTGTGGTTCAAGTGGTACAGCACCAGACAAACAAAAAACAAAAAGCTAACGGACAGCACCCAGGTACCGAGTTCAAATCCTAGTACCAGCACAAAAGAAAAAAAAAAGCTTCAGAAATTCCTGGACATACTTACCACCACCACCACCAAAGTGAGGTTACAATAGACAGAGGAAAAAAAATGAAAAAAATAAAAGCCCCCACAGCTTGCCTGGGAGGGTCACCTTCTTTCATAGGTTAAATTTCTAGTTAATTTACACCTTTCTGAAAAACAGGACGAGACCATGGATGAACAGGACCCAGGAGGACACAACAGACTCCCAAGGATTCAGACATTCTAGAATTCCCTTCCTGGAACCTGTGGAACAGGGAACATCCTTTGTGAAAAGGATGTCTCTGAACCCTCATTAACAGTTCCTCTTCAAACACGCTCCAAAGATGAGCATAGCCCGTGTCCCCATCACGCTAACAGCAGTGAAGAGAAGAACAACCATCTGCTCCCTCTACAGGTTTATTTTTTGTGCGGGTCCTGGGGCTTGAACTCAGGGCCCCCCAAAAGGACTTTAGTGTTGCTTTCTTGTATACAGCCTTTGGGAGTCAACACACCCAGCAGTTGGGGGGGGGAGGGCGGAGAAACACAACAGATCATCACCACAAACCACATCGCTCCAGTTTCCTCCTGGCCACTACACAATTGGAGCAAGAAACCACACAAAAGTCACAACTTGAGATGAAACTGAGCTGTCTGGCCAATAAGCAATCTGCTTTCATTTTTGCCAAGACAGTTGATATTTTGAATCCTTCCATCCAAACACACGATGCACGGAAGAGAACTAGACGGGCATGCCCAGTTCTGACGGTCGGTTTGAAGTCTGTCAACCTCACAAATACAATGTCATGAGCACCCCAGCTCTACAGGGAACAGTCCCACCGCACAGTTACACTCTCAAAACCTAAGTGACTCAGAGGAGAGCCCTTTTCAATACGTGACTTGAGTACAAGCCAAAAGTCACTTACCTCTGGCTTTTTCTCCCTCCGTGCAACGCTTCCTGTAGGATCAGGAGCATCTGCTTTCTGCTGCTGAGAATCTTGCTCGCAGGGAACTTTAAAACCCAGGCCCAACTCCTACACAGAAGCAACTGATCAAAAGGTAATCAAGCCACATCTTTTCATTTCCACCAGAAAAACAGATCAGGGCACTGATGGCTCACACCTGTCATCCCAGCTACTTGGGGAGGTTAGGAGGGAGAGGATCAAGGTTCAAGATCAGCCTGGGCAGAAGAGTTCATGAGATTTTCCCCCCCCTCCCCCGCTAGGTGCCTGTCACCCTAGTTATCAGGGAATGCCTCTCATGGGTGGATTGCCCACCACTCCAAGAAGGAGTAACAGAATCAAATGCTTTCAAGGTAGACAATTTAGCCAATGAATTAATTATAAGTCATTCAGGGGCATCCAAAGAGAGAAGGCGAAAGGTTCATGCCCAAGCCCTGAGTTCAAGCCCCAGTACTCGCACAACTCAGGGCCTCTGGCTTAGCCTCTATTTCCATCCCCAACCCCACCTCAAGGCTGGCACTCTACCACTTGGCTACACCTCTAGTTCTGGCTTTCTTTCTGATGGTTAACGGGAGAAGAGAGTCTCAAGGCCTTTCCTGCCCTGGCTGGCCTTTGAATCATGATCTCAGATCTCAGCCTCCTGAATAACTAGGATTACCGGAGTGAGCCACCAGCGCCAGGCCTTAGATAGGGCCTGGAGAGATGGAAATTGAGGTTTCCCAGAAGATGACCTTAACTGGTCTGTAAACCATGCTTTCCCTGGTAAACACAAACCGAGCTCTTTGCTGCTGACCCAGGAGGAGGAAGGAGCGCAGGTGCCAAAGAAAACCATTGGGAAGCCAGGGCCCAGGGCCAAGGTGGCAGCCCACCTGAAAAACAGGAGAGACGGACACTCCCAGCCCGGCCAGGCCCGGCGTCTTTCTGAACTGGGGGACCCAGGGTAGAAAAGGCTCCAGGGCGCAGGTGCAGGGCTCATAACTCGGGGATAGCCAGCGGAGCTGCGCACTGCAGCCTCACTGGGCTGGGGCGGGAGGCCGGTTCGAGTCTCCTATCAAACGAACGCCGAGGAGGGGCCGGGCGGTGGGCGCCCACCCTCTAAGCGCGCTGGGACTCGGGCTCCCCATATATCCCCCCAAAAGGTGGGGGGG